TCGACAAAAAAAAACAAGTTAAAATTCGTGTCCACATTAAAACAGGCACTGTAGCCCCTAAAATCAGCATAGGGGCACTGACTTTTTGCCTTTCTAGCACTGCAGTGCTGCTCCTAGAGCTGTGGCGTTGATCCCCTTTTGATGCCTACGGCTACCCTTGTTGCCTAGTCTCCAAATAATCCAACACTTAGGCTATCAAATGACCTTGTTTCCTTCCAAATGATCTTGTTTCCTTCCAAATGATGATCCCTACAAAATAACATTAAAACACACAAAACAAATAAAAATGAACATAAAATACTTGAAAACTTACAATTTCATCAAGCCAAGAGTACTCAATTCGTAGGTATAAAACTGACTTATCACATTACCAACCCATCACCCCCACAAGTTTGCACAAGCTCAAAATTTGTTAAGAATGGTATGGGTAGGAATTCAAAGAAGTAGGTTGCAAAAGAAACCCAAATCATTGGTGTGTGCATACTGAGGACTATTGTCTTACCCATAATTGCTCGAGTCTTAAACGAACCTCATGGCTGGGAGGTCTAAGTGAAGTTGCACCAGACGTCGGAGAAAGACTTCCGACGGAGTGACGTAGCGAAGGAAGGAGCTTCTAAGCATGGTATTCTTTGGATATAATTTGCAAGTTTTGTATATTGACTTGGAAAGTGATGGATCAACCTTTGATGAACCTAGTGAGGTTCCTCACAGTTTTTCCCCAAAGGGGTTTTCGCCGTCAACAAATAACAAGTGTTCTTTACTTTTTATTGTACACACTTTCATTTGTTAGCCCACACACACACTGTGTGTTTGTTGATTTGATTGTACGAGTATCTTTGAACCATAGCTGTGCAATTGGATTTGTTGGGATCACTGTGAGATTGACTTGAGTGAATTAATTGCATAATAATTAAAATCAATCGTCATGGTTCAAAGGGTTTGTAGTGACTAAAAGGGTTCTCACATTTATTGTTTCATAATTGCTAGAAGAGGTAATTGTGGTAGACATAGGTTTTAATTTGTAATCAATTTGGGCTAAAATTGAAAACCCTATTCACCCCCTCTAGGTATAGTGTCTTGGTCTTCACATGTATAATCATGAGGGAAGATCCACAGCGGGTTCGCCCTCCCGAAACAACAATTATTTTTAGAGCGTGGTTGCCCTAAGAATTTGAGTCACTGAGTAGACATATCTTGTTTTTGCTAACTTAATTACTTTACCTTCGAGAAATCTATCATTACTACTAGTTAGTTTTGAATGGATTCTCAAAAGTAAGGTGGTTCAATTGGACGACCACCAATCTTTGATGGATTGAGCTTTGCATATTGGAAAGCTCGTACGAGAGTGTTTCTTAAATCCATTGATGAGAGAGTCTGGTTGACTCTCCAAAAGGGTTGGAGGCTTGCCACCACCACTATGTAAGTTGAAAGTGGTGAAAGGGTGCTTAAAGTAAAATCATCGAAGGTATGGACTAAAATTGAGAATGAATCCATGGGGTGAAACTCGAAAGGCTTGAATGCAATATTCACTACTTCGACACCTAATGAGTTTTGAAGGATCACTAATTGCAAAACTTCAACGGAAGCGTGCGACATCTAGGTTGTTTCCCATGGAGGGACTTCCTAGGTGAAGATGTCTCGACTCCAAAGGTAGTAGACCTCTCAGTTTGAGAGTTTGAGGATGCTGGATGATGAAATATTTAGTGAATTGCATGCTAAATTACTTGATACTATAAATTAATCAATTGCATTAGGTACTAAGGTTGACGATGTGACCATCCAGTGGAAAATCTTGAGATCTCTACTTGAGGGATTTTGTGTTCAGGGTATATCCTTGGAGACATGTGTCAGCATAGAGTTGGTGTTGGTGGAAGACCTAGTAGGGTCAATCTTGCCATTGAGATGAACCTTCCATCCTTAAAGCAAGCTATGGGCATGGACTTTAGCTAAACTTATCAAGAAGGAAGGAAATCTGGGTCATCCAGATTTGGAGAGGAGGACCTAGGATTGATTGTAAAGAAGTTCAAAAACTATTTCAAGACTAGTAATACTCATAAGAAAGGAAGGCCTTGTAGGCATAGTACTCATAAGAAAGGAAGAGAAAAAGGGGGAAGGGATTCTTGAAAAGAAGTTGAGAGAAAGAGGCAAAGTGTGCAATGCTTTAAATGTCAAGGATTCGGACATATTGCATTGGAATGCTTAAATTGAAAGATGAGAGATTTGTGCAATGAAAATGGAGGGCTATGAAAGGTAAGTAGCATGATCATGAAAGTGAGTCGACCTCGAGTGATGACTCCTCTTCTCAAGATAATGCAGAGAACTTTACTGTTTTTGTGGGACCACTCTCCTCTGCACCCTAGAGAAAATTCCACTAGTGACGTTGATGGAAGTCCCACTACAGAGGTACATGACTTGGACAAGAAAATCCCCTTTTGTATGGAGGATCAAGATTGCTATGAGTATATTCAAGATGTATTATGATCAATTGTATGTGCAACTCCTCAAGCAACAAGAGAGGGTGCTCTCCTTGAGTGGTCAAGACAACTCAAGTGAAGAAGGGATGAGAGGCCTTCAAGTGGACTTGGTCAAGTCCAAGCCCAAATATGTACCCTAGAAAATGAGAACAAGTTTCTCCCTGATCGAATGCTTGTCAAGCCTAAGAAGAATCTTGAGCCAAAATGTGTCATACTTGATAAAGATCTTCGTGAATCAAATGAGCTCTCTAATAGACTTCCTTAATGCAATGCACAGTTTGATAGGATGTTATCTATGGGAAAAAGTGTAGGTGTTTACCAACCCATCAACACATGTTTGCACAATCTCAAAATTTGTTACGAATGGTAAGGGTAGGAATTCAAAGAATCAAAGAAGAAGGTTGCAAAAGAAACCCAAATCATTGGTGTGTGTATACTGAGGACTCTTGGCATGCCCATGATTGCTCGAGGCCTAGGCGAACCTCACGACAGGGAGGTCCAAGTGAAGCTACATTGTACGTCAGAGAAGGACTTTCGACGGAGAGACATAGCGAGGAAAGGAGCTTATAACCATGGTATTGATTGGGATATAATTATCAAGTTCTTTTATGTTGACTAGGAATGTGATGGATCAAGCTTTGGTGAACCTAGCGAGGTTCCCCGCATTTTTCCAGGGGGGGGGTTTTGTCGTCAACAAATAGCAAGTGTTTTGTACTTTCTATTATACACACTTCCATTTGTTAGCACATACACGCATTGTGTGTTTGTTGATTTGATTGTATGAATATCTTTGAACCATCGTTGTGCAATTGGATTTGTTGGGATCACCATGAGATTGACTTGAGTAAATTAATTGCATATTAATTAAAATCACTCGTCATGATTGAAAGGATTTAAGGTGACTCAAAGGGTCACATTCATTGCTTCATATTTGTTAGAAGAGGTAATTGTGGTAGACATAGGTTTTAATTTTGAATTGATTTGGGATAAAATTGAAAACCCTATTCACCCCCTCTAGGTATAATGTCTTGGTCTCCTTGTGTATATTTGTTAGTGAAGATCCATTGCGGGTTCGCCCTCCAGGAACAACAATTGGTATCAGAGTGTGGTTGCCCTAAGAATTTGAGTCACTGAGTATACATATCTTATTTTTTCTAACTTGCCTAGTTTAACATCGAGAAATATATCATTACTACTAGTTAGTCTTAAATGGATTCTCAAAAGGAAGGTGGTTCAATTGGACAACCACCACTCTTTGATGGATCAAGCTTTGTGTATGGGAAAGCTCGTATGAGAGAGATTCTTAAATCCATTGATGAGAGAGTGACGTTGACCCTCCAAGAGGGTTGGAGGCCTCCCACCACCACTATGCAAGTTGAAAGTGGTGGTTGAAGTAAAATCATCGAAGGTATGGACTAAAAATGAGAATGAGTCCATGGGGTGAAACTCAAAAGGCTTGAATGCGATATTCAATGTCATGACACCTAATGAGTTCCGAAGGAGCGCAAATTGCAAAACTTCAATGGAAGCGTGCGACATCTTGGTTGTTTCCTATGGAGGGACTTCCTTGGCGAAGATGTCTAAACTGCAAAGGCAGACCTCTCAGCTTGAGAGTTCGAGGATGGAAGATGATGAAATAGTTAGTGAATTGTGTGCTAAATTGCTTGATACTGTAAGTTAATCATTTGCTCTAGGTACTAAGGTTGACGATGTGGCCATCTAGTGGAAAATCTTGAGATCTCTACCCAAGAGATTTAGTGTTAAGGTCACATCCTTGGAGACAAGTGTAAACACAGAGTTGGTGTTGGTGTAAGACATGGTAGGGTCAATCATACCGTTTGAAATGAACCTTCAATCCTTAAAGCAAGCTAAGGGCATGGCCATTAGCTAAGCTTATCAAGAAGGAGGGAAATCTGGGTCATCCCGATTTGGAGAGGAGGACCTAGGCTTGATTGTAAAGAAGTTCAAAAAATATTTCAAGACTTGTAATGTTGAGTCTTCCAGGTTGAAAGGAATGCCTTGTTGGTGTAGTACTCCTAAGAAAGGAAGGGGAAAAGGAGGAAGGGACTCTCAAAAAGAAGTTGAGAGAAAGGGGCAAGGTGTCCAATGTCTTGAATGTCAAGGATTTGGATATATTGCGTCAGAATACCCAAATTGAAAGATGAGAGATTTGTGCAGTGAAAATAGGATGGCTATGAAAGCCAAGTGGCATGATCGTGAAAGTGTGTCGACCTTGAGTGATAACCCCTCTTCTCAAGATGATGCAACGAACTTTACTACTTTTCTAGGCCCACTCTCCTTCCCCGCCCCCCCCCCCCCCCCCCAATAAAAACTTCTACTAGTGAAGTTGATGGAAGTCCCACCACGGAGGTACATGACTTGGACGAGGAAATCCACACATGTATGGAGGATTAAGACTGCTATGAGTATATTCAAGATGTATATGATCAATTTTATGTGCAACTCCTCAAGCAACAAGTGAAGGTGTTCTCCTTGAGTGGTCGAGTCAACTTAAGTGAATAAGGGATGAGAGGCCTTCAAGTGGACATGGTCAAGTCTAGGGCCCAAATATCTAGCCTAGAAGACGAGAACAAGTCTCTCCTTGATCGAGTGCCTGTCAAGTCTAAGAAGAATCTTGCGCCAAAATGTGTCAAACTTGATGAAGATCTCCGTGAATCAAATGGGCTCTCTAATAGACTTCCCCACTCCAATGCAAAGTTTGATAGGATGATATCTATGGGAAAAAGTAAATGCGATAAGCAGGATTTAGGCTACCCAAATGAACACACCAACACTTCTTACAAGACCGTGTTTCTGAAGGGCATTACCAACTCATCAGCACCACATGGTTGCATAAGGTCAAAATTTGTTATGAATGGTAAGGGTAGGAATTTAACGAATCAAAGAAGAAGGTTACGAAAGAAACAGAAATCATTGTGTGTTTTCATCAACTGAAGACTAAGGACATTCCCATAATTGCTTGAGACCTAGGTGAACATCACAGCAGGGAGGTCCAAGTGTAGCTACACCAGATGTCGCAGAAGGATATTTGAGGGAGAGACATAGCGAGGAAAGGAGCTTCTAGCCGAGGTATTGGTTGGGATATAATTCTCGAGTTCTTGTATTTTGAGTTGGAAAGTGACGGATCAAGCTTTAGTGAACCTAGCGAGGTTCCCCGCGGTTTTTCCCAAGGGTGGTTTTTGCCGTCAAAAAACTGAAGTGTTCTTTACTTTCTATTGTACGCACTTTCATTTGTTAGCACACACCCGCACTGTGTGTTTGTTGATTTGATTGTACGAATATATTTGAACCATAGCTGTGCAATTGGATTTGTTGGGATCATCGTGAGATTGAATTAAGTAAATTGATTGCATACTAATTAAAATCAATCATCATGGTTCAAAGGGTATGGGGTGACTAAAAGGGTTCTCACATTCATTGCTTCATATTTGTTAGAAGAGATAATTGTGGTAGACATAGGTTTTAATTTGTAATATAAAATTGAAACCCTATTCACCCCCTCTAGGTATAACGTCTTGGACTCCACGTGTATAATTGTGAGGGAAGATCCACTATGGGTTCACCCTTTAGGAACAACAATTGGTATCATAGCGTGGTTGCCCTAAGAATTTGAGTCACTGAGTAGACTTATCTTGTTTTTGCTAACTTGCCTACTTTACCTTTGAGAAATCTATCATTACAACTAGTTAGTTTTGAATGGATTCTTCAAAGAATGATGGTTCAATTGGACAACCACCACTCTTTGATGGTTCCAGCTTTGCGCATTGGTAAGCTCGTACGAGAGCACTTCTTAAATCCATTGATAAGAGAGTGTGGTTGAATCTCCAAGAGGGTTGAAGGCCTCCCACCACTACCACGCAAGTTGAAAGTGGTGAAGTGGTGGTTGAAGTAAAATCGTCGAAGGTATGGACTAAAAATGAGAATGAGTCCACGAGGTGAAATTAAAAAGGCTTAAATGCGAAATTCAGTGTTGCGACACCTAATGAGTTCCAAAGGATTGCTAATTGCAAAACTTCAACGGAAGCATGCAACATCTTGGTTGTTTTTAATGGAGGGACTTCCTTGGTGATGATGTCTTGACTGCAAAGGTAGACCTCTCAATTCGAGAGTTCGAGGATGCAAGATGATGAAACATTTAGCGAATTCTATGCTAAATTGCTTGATACTGTAAATTAATAATATGCATTAGGTACTAAGGTTGACGATGTGGCCATCAGGTGGAAATTCTTGAGATCTCTACCCAAGAGATTTCATGTTAAGGTCATATCCTTGGAGACAAGTGTCAACATAGAGTTGGTGTTGGTGGAAAACCTTTGAGATGAAACTTCCATCCTTAAAGCAAGCTAAAGGATTGGCCTTTAGCTAAACTTATCAAGAAGGAGGGAAATTCGGGTCGTCTCGATTTGGAGAGGAGGACCTAGCCTTGATTGTAAAGAAGTTTAAAAAATATTTCAAGGCTAGTAATGTTGAGTCCTCAAGGTCGAAAGGAAAGCCTTGTAGGCATAGTACTCCTCAGAAAGGAAGAGAAAAAGGGGGAAGGGACTCTCGAAAAGAAGCTGAGAGAAAGGGACAAGGATTCCAATGCTTTGGATGTCAAGGATTCAGACATATTGTGTCGGAATGCCCAAATTGAAAGATGAGAGATTTGCGCAATGAAAATAGGAGGGTTATGAAAGCCAAGTGGCATGATTGTAAATGTGAGTTGACCTCGAGTGATGACTTCTCTTCTCAAGATGATGCAGAAAACTTTACTGCTTTTGTAGGAACACTTTTCTCTACCCCCCAAGAGAAAATTCCACCAGTGAAGTTGAAGCAAGTCCCAACACGGAGGTACAGGACTTGGATGAGCAAATCCTCACGTGTATGGAGGATTAAGATTGCTTTGAGGATATGTAAGATGTATATGATCAATTGTATGTGCAACTCCTCAAGCAACAAGAGAAGGGGCTCTTCTTGAGTGGTCGGGTCAACTCAAGTGAAGAAGGGACGAGAGGCCTTCAAGTGGACTTGGTCAAGTCCAAGGCCCAAATATCTAGCCTAGAAGATGAGAACAAGTCTCACCTTGATTGAATGCCTGTCAAGCCTAAGAAGAATCTTGAGTCAAAATGTGTCAAACTTGAAAAAGATCTTTGTGAATCAAATGAGCTCTATAATAGACTTCCCCAATTCATTGCGAAGTTTGATAGAATGTTATCTATGGGAAAAATTTTAGGTGATAAGTGTGGTTTAGGCAACCCAAATGAACACACCCACACTTCATCCTAGACCGTGTTTATGAAGGGCATTACCAACCCTTCAGCCCCAGAAGTTGGGACAAGATCAAAATTTGTTAAGAATGGTAAGGGTTGGAATTCAAAGAAGAAGGTTGCTAAAGAAACCCAAATCCTTGATGTGTGCATACTGAGGATTGTTGGTGTGCCCATAATTGCTCGAGGCCTAGACGAACCTCATGGTTAGGAGGTCCAAGTGAAGCTACACCAGGCGTCGGAGAAGGACTTTCGATGGAGAGACATATCAAGGAAAGGAGCTTCAACCATGGTATTGGTTGGTCTATAATTCTCGAGTTCTTGTATGTTGACATAGGAACTGATGGATCAAGCAATGGTGTACCTAGTGAGGTTCCCACAATTTTTCCCTAGGGGGCTTTTCACCGTGAACAAATAGCAACTGTGCTTTACTTTTTGTTGTACACCCTTTCATTTTTTAGCACACACATGCACTGTGTGTTTGTTGATTTGATTGTAAAAATATCTTCGAACCATATCTATGCTATTGGGTTTGTTTGGATCGCCATGAGATAGAATTGAGTGAATTAATTGCATATTAAATAAAATCAATCTTCATGGTTCAATGGGTTTGTGGTGACTAAAAGGGTTCTCACATTCATTGCTTCATATTTATTAGAAGAGGTAATTGCGGTAGACATAGTTTTTAATTTGTAATCAATTTGGGCTGAAATTGAAAACCCTTTTCACCCCCCCTCTAGGTATATGATTAGCACAAAATGTTATACATAATGTATACAGTTGAACCCCTTTTATACTTGCTCTTGTGGTGAAAATGGGAGGAATTGCAATATTTCTAACAATTAATGAGGTTTCGGTGTGTTTGCAGGCTAAGAGTTAGAAATGGTGTGAGTTAAGCCTCCATCGTGGTGCTCAAAGTCAATGGAGATGATGGGGAGGCTTGACTATGGCTTAGAAGGTGAAAAGACCAAGATTTGAGCAAAACAAGTAAAAACCTACTAGTAGGTTTGCTCATAATACTACCAGTAGGTTTTGTGTACTGGACTTAGATCTACCGCAAACCTTCTGGAAGGTTTTGGCTACTAGAGTAAAACCTATCGGTATGTTTGGCTATCAACCTATCGGTAGGTTTTGCTGAAAAACGCCTGAAACCTACAACTCAGATTCTAACTACTTAGGGGGTCCACCTATGCTTCTCTGACACCTACCCTGATATGTTCTATCTACACCCATGCCATCATTACACAAAAGCATGACTTTGGAAGATGAGGCATGGCATAAGAGGAGAGAGAAGGAGAGGGGTTGGTCAATGGTGTGGGGGACTGCTGGCATGCTTGTACCTTGCTGGTGCAAGTATCCAAACTCTCCCAATCATGGAATTCAATCAGCACACGTGCCATAGAGCTTCATGGATGAAAATTACAGAGGAGGCTATACATTACATATATAGCTCAGCACTTTTAGGGAAAGAAGCTCTCAAGGTAGATGATAGAGTTTTAGTGAGAGACAACTTAGATTTTTGCATTTTCTTCACCCATTTCCTTTGTAGTAAGTTATATTTCACTTGTAATCTTTATTTCTTGCATTGTAATCTCTTTTAATTCAAGTGTAATCAAGTTTAATCAAAATGTTCTTGCACTTCATTACTTTTGCTAGGTTCCTCTGCAACTTTTCCATTTTGGTATGAAATGAATTTCTCTTTATAGTTTACTTCATCCTAGCATTAATATATGTTCTAATCTTCGTTCTCATCTCATTTTTATTTGTATTACATCTACACATCTCCTCGCATTATGAATGCTTTTACGTCAACCATCTCATTTTCATTTGTATTACATCTAAATGTCTCTTCACATTATGAATGCTTTTACTTCAACCATGAGTAGCTAAGCTTTTTGTTGGCTAATCCAAGAGGAACTTCTGCTTGGGTATGCTAAATCAACTCTTCTCCATTCTACCTCATAGTTTAGAGTGTTTGATTTGACTGGGTTGAGTGCGGATGTGGTTGTGAGCTCTTGATACACCGTAGACTTGTCACGGGGTATGTTTGAGCCTATATTCCACATTGGTCCCTCACTTCCTATGAATAAATCAATCACCTAGGCACCATTGGTTGAATGAATTGAGTTGATTAGGCATTCCCATTGGAGTGATTATTTGGATTAGCCAACCTTATTTTTTTTGCATTTCAACAACCAATCTTCACTCACCAAAACACCAATTCACATGATTTTTACACTTTTCATTTTTACCAAATCACCTTCATTACAATTCAACCTTCCTTCCCTGAGGAGACAACCGTAGAATACTCAATTTCAAGTAAAACATGACAATTGCAAGTTCCTTTATGCTCTCTTGCACACACATATATTTTCATCCACACACACATTTTTCCCATTTCTAGCATTGACCCGAGTGACACTCACCTACACACAGAAGCCATATACATATTATGGGTTCATGTTTAGAGATTAGGGTGAACGCTAATCAAGTAGTATATTGTCTTGGTCTCCACATGTATAACCGAGTGGGAAGATCCACTATGGGTTCACCCCCCAGGAACAACAATTGGTATCCGAGTGTGGTAGCCCTGAGAATTTAAGTCACTAAGTAGACATATCTTGTTTTTGCTAACTTGCCTAGTTTACCTTTGCGAAGTCTATCATTACAACTAGTTAGTTTTGAACAGATTCTCAAAAGGAAGGTGGTTCAATTGGACAACCACCACTCTTCGATGGATCGACCTTTGCATATTGGAAAGCTCGTATAGGAGCACTTCTTAAATCCACTTATGAGACAGTGTGGTTGACTCTCCAAAAGAATTAGAGGCCTCCCACCACCACCACACAAGTTTAAAGTGAAGTGGTGGTTGAAGTAAAATCATCAAAGGTATGGACTAAAATGAGAATGAGTCCACGGGGTGAAAGTCAAAAGGCTTGAATCTTATATGTAATGCCGCGACACCTAATGAGTTCCAAAAGATCGCTAATTGCAAAAATTCAACAAAAGCGTGCGACATCGTGGTTGTCTCCCACAGAGGGACTTCATTGGTGAAGATGTCTTGACTTCAAAGGTACGCCTCTCAGTTCGAGAGTTCGAGGATGCAAGATGATGAAACATTTAGTAAATTGTATGCTAAATTGCATGATACTGTAAACTAATCATTTGCAGTAGGTAAAAAGGTTGACGATGTGGCCATCAAAGGGAAAATCTCGAGATCTCTACCCGAGATATTTTTGTGTTAAGGTCACATCCTTGGAGGCAAGTGCCAACACAGAGTTGGTGTTGGTGGAAGACCTAGTAGGGTCTATCTTGTCCTTTGAGATGAACCTTTTTCGATCCCTAAAGCAAGCTAAGGGCATGGCCTTGAGCTAAACTTACTTAGTGACTTAAATTCTCAGGGCAACCACGCTCTAATACTAATTGTTGTTCCTGGAGGGCAAACCCATAGTGGATCTTCCCTCACGATTATACACGTGGAGACGAAGACACTATACCTAGAGGAGGTGAATAGGGTTTTCAATTTCAGCCCAAATTGATTACAAATTAAAACCTATATCCACCACAATTTCCTCTTCTAACAAATATGAAGCAATGATGTGAGAACCCTCATAAATTCACTCAAATTTGTTTCACGGCGATCCCAACAACTCCAATTACACAGCTATGGTTCGAACATATTTGTATAATCAAATCAACAAACACACAGTGCATGTGTGTGGTAAAAAAGGAAAGTGTGTACAACAGAAAGTAAAGCACACTTTCAATTGGACGACCACCACTCTTCGATGGATCAATCTTTGCATATTGGAAAGCTCGTATAAAAGCGTTTCTTAAATCCACTGATGAGAGAATATGGTTAACTCTCCAAGAGGGTTGGAGGCCTCCCACCACCACCGTGAAACAAATCATCGAAGGTTGAAAGTGGTGAAGTGGTGGTTAAAGTACAATCATCGAAGGTATGTACTAAAAATTAGAATGAGTCCGTGGGGTAAAAATCAAAAGGCTTGAATGCGATATGCAACGCTGCGACACCTAATGAGTTCTGAATGATCGCTTATTGCAAAACTTCAATGGAAGCGTGCAACATCTTGGTTATTTCCCACGGAGGCACTTCCTTGGTGAAGATGTCTCGACTCCAAAGGTAGACCTTTTAGTTTGAGAGTTTGAGGATGCAAGATGATGAAACATTTAGTGAATTGTATGCTAAATTACGTGATATTGTAAATTAATCATTTTCATTTGGTACTAAGATTGGCGATGTGGCCGTCAAGTGGAAAATCAAGAGATCTCTACCCAAGAGATTTTTGTGTTAAGGTCACATCCTTGAAGACAAGTGTGAACACGGAGCTGGTGTTGGTGGAAGACCTTGTAGGGTCTATCATGTCCTTTGAGATGGACCTTCTTCCATCCTTAAGGCAAGCTAAGGGCATGGCCATGAGCTAAACATACCAAGAAGGGGAGAAAATCTGGGTCATTCTAGTTTGGAGAGGAGGACCTAGGCCTGATTGTAAAGAAGTTCAAAAAATATTACAAGACTAGTAATGTTGAGTCTTCAAGGTCGAAAGGAAAGCCTTGTAGACGTAGTACTCCAAAGAAAGGAGGAGAAAAAGGGGGAAATGACTCTAGAAAAGAAGTTGAGGGAAAGAGGCAAGGTGTACACTACATTCAATTTCAAGCATTTGAACATATTGCGTCGGAATGCCCAAATTGAAAGATGAGAGATTTGCAAAATAAAAATAGGAGGGCTATGAAAGCCAAGTGGCATGACCGTGAAAGTGAATCGACCTAGAGTGATGACTCCTCTTCTCAAGATGATGACTA